TATGAGAACATTTATAACTTTCTACTTGAAAATTAAAAAGAAAAATCAGGTAATTCAAGATTCAAGAGTTTTATTGTCACAGACAAGCAGTTACACTGTACAGTGAAATACTTATTTTGCWGTTCCTTCATTTACCGACAGTCTAAGAGAAAAAAGTACAACAGAGTATAAAAGTAGAGTTATAGACCAGTATTTATAGACAAGTAGCAGCAGAGCATGTAGTGTAAAAGTAACTGTATATAGGTAAACATCAAACATGATTTAGACCAGACAATGTACATACCAGTGTTCTACAGTAATTACATAAAATGTAATGTAACTAAAGGTAATTTTTTTCTGTGATAAATGAGCTGAATTTAAAAGCAATGTGACGTTTCATTTTGCACGTGTAATTTTAATCCCTGTATTTGACAAATTTTTACACAAACATGACATCAAGAAATTAAATATTCTAACAGCAATAGTAAAAAAACAGACTTTGCTACAATGTTTCTTCAAACACGTTTTGCAACTAAGGAGAACAAAAACAGAACTATAATGCATCAGTAGCCTACGTATCAAGCAAGATTAGCAATAATGATTTGGTCCTTGACGTCTCACTAAAGCTGTGTAGATTATTAAAACAATGCAAAAGTGTTATTTTTAATTAACAAAAATCCTAAATGCAGAAGGTGTGTAAAAAATAAGACTCCAAATCAAAGGTTGAACAAGCTGAACCACMTTTAGCTGCAAAAACTTAAAGTAACCATCCTCTGACCCAGATTGCTGTTAAAGTTTGGCCCCATTCTGTTTAACAGCGTTGCTTCAGCTCGTTTAGGTTTTTGTTTTTGCAACACACATCTTTACATTTTGACTTAAAGTTTTGACTTTGGGGTAATTGCATCATTTTGGCTGTTTTTTTTTAAGCCTTTCTGTTCATCTTGTCTTGTTGCTTGACCTGATTTAGGCCAAACTTTGTCRACAAAGTGTCTCACACTGACTCTAGAACAGGTGGGCAATCCTGGTCCTCGAGGTCTGCAGGCCCTGCATGTTTTACTTCTTTCCCTGCTCCAACACGCCTGATTCAATCATTGAATTACCTCTTCCATGTTCTGCAGAAGCCTAATAATYACCCATTCATTCAAATCAGATGTGCTGGAGCAGAGAAACAAGTAAAACATGCAGGGCGRCCCTCGAGGACCACCCCTGTTGATTCATGCCGTTTTCATTGACTCACTGAGGCAAACTGCTCAGGTGCAGAGTTAGTTAACCAAACAAGCTCAAATCATAATTTCTCCATTTTCCTGCTCATATGTTCGTGCTGATATGTTTTAATATTTTTCACAAACATCTCCACTTTGGTCCTAACTTTCCGAAAGGCACTGTTCCAGAAGTCCTGTAACTTTTCAAGATAAATCACACGTTTAGTGTTTTTCTGTTTCCTCATGAAATTGAACATGTTCTGAGATCTGAACACTTCAAGGTCTCACCCTGGGCTGAACTTGTTAAACTGTATTACATTGTTTTCATCCATGATAAAGTCTTCTCACTGAGCGGCTACAAATGATTGGGAAATGACTTTGTACATCACAGTCACTGCATTTGCTTGTGTGAAAATAGGGTTTCTACAGCTTAAGGTAAGTTAAATTTAAGACTTTTTAATACCTCTTTAATGCCACTTGAAATAGAATTTAAGACCAATATCACATTAAACATGAATGGAAAAAAAAAACAGCAACAATTTTACCCAAATATTTATTTTAACACAAAACAATTAGCTGCGAGAAGCATTTGGTAAATTATTTAAAAAGATAAATAAATGTTACCAATTATTTTATCATTTGAGATGAATTACAGTTATTCTACTTACAATAAAGTAACATTTTTAAGAACTTTGAAAGATTGATTTAAGACTTTTTTAAGGCTAATTAAGGTCTTATTTTTGACAATTAACATGTCACAAAGACAGTACCGTCGTAGGCTACACCCTCAAGATTGTATTTCCGTCAGTGTTCCATCAGTCACAGGACTTGGAGAGGCTTCTCCTATTGTGCACCATCTTTCTGGAATTTGCTGCAGCAAGACCTGAAACTGTCCAATTTGATCCCACTGGGTCATTTTTACCATTTTAAAGGAAATGGGGAAAAAAACATCATTTGCATCGTGCTCAWGCTTTTAGGTTGTGTGTTTAACTCTGCTTTCCCGAAATTGTAACTGATATTGTATGTGTCACAGGTCTCTCTTGTAAATGAGACTACACGTCTCAATGAGATTACCTGCCTAAATAAWTAAATGAATAAATTTTTGGATTGATGAATTCAATGCCTTTTAAGACTTTTTAAGGATCCAAAAAGCTCAAATCTTTCTCTTTCAGAGATGAGGATGTTCTCATTCTTGATAGAGAGGAACGTTGGTTTGAGAGAGGAGTAAAAGAAGCCATTTTTGTGAAGAAAGACCGTCCATCATTAAACAGAGGTGGAGGCCTCCATGTTCAGCTGTCCCCCTCCTGCAGTGCTGCTATAAGCCAGTATCACTCCACCCCCTGTTAACAATAGGTGTTAATTAGGTGTCAACGATAGCCATGTGATGTGAGTATCAGTCACATGGAGGCGGGGCTTAAAAGCCTGAATTTTGCCTGAAACTCTCAGACTGAAGAAGTCTCTTGGAGAAGAGACGAAACGTTTCATTAGAGATGAACCCGTCCAGAAGACCTACCTGGATTACTGAGATGCATCAGGACTCAAATCTTTCATTCTCAATGTTATAATAAACACACACCTGAAAGCTCCAGGCCAGTAAACATATAAAACTTTACAGATCTGGTAACACAATGATCAAGTATATAAGTGGTAATCATCACATGACTAAAAAAAAGTACTTATTTAAACTCAGAAATACACTCAAACTCATATTACACTCAAATTGTGAGTGTAATTTGTCACATGATGTTCCTATTCATTCAAGGTTGGTTTATTTATTAATAGTGTAAACTTTATGTTTTGATATGTAAAATTTTAACTAATTGGGTAAATTTAATAAAGGTTGCTGTTGTTTTTAAATAAAAAATGTAAACATTTAAAAGAAATTATCATTATCACTTGGCCTATTCTATTCATCTCATAAGAGGTATTACTACAGTAGGATCAATCAGCACATCTTTCTATTCTTTTCTGATATTTTCAATGTAATGTACTTTTATAACTAATATGTTATTGCTAACTTGGTATWGCTAATATAAAGGTCAAAAAAGCCTTTAAATATTTTTGACCTACTTCTACTACAACCGTACCCTTGTGTTTGCGTACGTGCGCACTACTTTCCGGGAGAGAACGTGCGAGGCGCCGTATGAAGATGAGAGGTTGTACTTCGGTCGTGAAGAGGAAAAAAAAAAAACTAAGATGGCGTCTCGTCAAGAAATACTGGATGGTCTGAGAAGAGTGATGATCGGAAAATGATTTATCACGACATAACTGAGAAAGTTTAAGCTTGTCGCTGAGTGTTAAGCGAACTTCAACCATTAATGAATTGAACCCGCGGGTTTACCAGCGTCTACATGTAGACCCGAAGCTGAAAACGGTCAACTTTGCTAGCTCCGGTAGCTGGCCAACGTGAACTACTAGTCTTTACAACAACAGAGGAAGGAGAGCGACCACAGTCCCTATCACACCCCGGGACATCGAGGTGTCTTCGGGTCAGTCACGGGAATTCAGCCATGCACAGGGGGTCATTAGATAACTGATTATTATTTAGATATATAAAGTGACTACTTAGCTGTGTGTAAATATTACTTAAATAACGCTATTAGCAGGTCCTCGGTTACATGTTGGTTTTGTTCCAGCCAGCCCAGTTTTGCTAACGAGCGGACGTCATATATAAACCGTGGGAGTCGATGGGACGATGCTGGGGGGGAAATGTGGAGGCCTTGATGCTAGCGTTAGCTGTTACCGCCTCACAAACCTTTAAAATTGACATTATTGGCGTTCGTTATTTTCAGTGGAACTAAAATAAGCCCGCTGCAGATCATTTGATTGTTTTATTTTTAATTGATGTCCCGTCGCGTCACGGTTGGTCGCCACAAGGTAAGGGTTTTACGTCAGTTCTCACAAGTTTACGTGCTAACACTTGTCGGCTAATAAAATAATGCTCAATAAGATGTTATATATCGACATGTGCTGAGAGTATTTAGCATTTTTCACTTTGATAAGTGCTGGTTTCCTCGTTATTTTTGTTAGCCAAGCCCTGCCTACAGTAGTGATGCCTCTGTGGCCTTTTAACACCTCAGGGTTCATTGTTTGTCTGGAGGCCCGTGACAAAAACTAATATATTACACTCACTGTGATCAATTCCTCGAAATCAGTGTTTATTTTAATATCGTCTTCGTAAGATGGTCAAACGTAGAAACAGAATACAACACATTGAGTGTAACCATACATTAAAATGCTGCCACCACTTCTGCTTTTAACAAGTTTTTAGTTTGTGTTGTACTGAAACCGATAGAATATCAAGTTTCTTTCGCGATTAATGGATTATTGTTAATGTTTGACACAAAGTAACTGAGGATCAACGGGTTTTCTCTGTGCTAGCACTGTAGTTAAAATGGGCCTACAGTGGCATGGTTCTGTAGTGTTTAGCCTTGTAACTAATCCATTACATTCAAGGCAGAATATTTATACTGTGTTGAATCTAAACACTTCAGGCACTTGTTAAACATTAGTTAAAAGTGGATGTAAAGATGGTGGAAGTTCCTGCTGACCTGATATGTGTGTGAAATATGACATGTTTGTTGTTATAGAATGGAAACCGTTGTATTATGCAAAATGGTCGTGGTCAGGTCACATAAGTCTTTCAGCCAGTTAGGTAATCTTTGTGACAGGGCATAAAACACAATTTAAACCCTTTCATGGGCCTTAATTTATCAGAGTATGGGGTTTGTTTTGTTGCGTCTGTAGTGGGGGAGGGGATGTTCAAGGACAAAAAAAAAACCTATTCTGGGATTTCCTATGACTGACTGTTTTGTAAACTTTTGTTTCAAGAGCATAAATCACACACTTGAGGAAGTGACTGTCGCAGTTATGTAAATTTGTTGGTAAAGTGAGAAAATAATTTTAAAAACTAAAATGAAATCATGCATTGACATTTGGCAGGTAATTTACCAAAGATTTTCTGTTTTTCTGATCAGAGAATTTAAATTTTTAGGGTCATATTTAGACCCCATCCTCTCTGGAATGGAGTATTTTTATTCACGTCAGCCTTGTGTCCACGTGGACTCTGCACTTTTAAGAAACCCTAATATGACATATTTTGAAACTAGGTTCTAGAGTAGGGGAAAAATCTTGAAATGACGCACCTGTGTTTTTTGTGGACATCCAAAACTCAGCCTTATGCCATAAACTTACCCTCCACTTAATCTACAACACCACGCCTAACAGACACCGTGACGACAAAGTGCATGTTTTTGTCTATATTCTAGACGCCAGTTGCTCAGTTACAGCACTTGACTGTTCTTTATCAACAAAACAAATAATTCAGATAAAAGATTTACATTGCACTGTACATTAGGTGGGGAAATGGAAATACGTTTGAAAGGTTGAAATGCTGTTTATTAACATTTAACCATAAAAATCCCATTGAGATAACAGATCTCTTTTGCGAGGGAGGCCTGTGTCTGAAGGCAACTGAATGTGTGTTTTTTGTCAGTGGGAGGAAACTGGAGTACTTGGAGAAAACCCATTCATGCACAAGGAGAACATGTAAACTCAGCAATGGAAGACCCTGGGCCCGAACCAGGGATTAAACCCAGGACCTTCTTGCAGTGAAGCATCAGTACTAACCACTGAGCCCTCATGTTGCCAAATGTTGTATATGAATAATTTAGCCTGATATGCTTTGAACAATTTGAGTTAGTCCCTTTGGTGTGCCTGAAATGATCTATTAGGTTTAAATATTTGAACTGATAAAACTCAGTGATGAGTATTTAAAAGTGACACCAATGAGAAGTTCAGCTTTGATGCGAGTCTACAAAAAAGTTTAGTTTTTTTTCTCTTTGCAGATTCTGGGGTTTTCAGTTTGTAGGACAGAGTCCACACCTTGTTTCCTGTTTTTGGCTTGTTTTTGTTATAGCACCACACAAAGGCCTGACATGGCTGTTACAGTGCTTTGGTCATTTTATGTGTTTCTATGTGGATGAAAACATTAGAAACGGGAGAGTGTTTACGATGATGGGCTGCATAGCTCGGTGGTCGGTGTCACAGTTTTGTAATCCTGATGCAGGTTCAAGCCTAGGTTACGACAGGATGGTCACTTGGTGGAAAACTCGCTGCGGCAACTAGGGGGTGTACCAAAAAATTGGTTCATATCAGAATCATGATTCTTATTTACAAAGATTCAGAATGGATTTAAAATGTCTCAAAATCAATTTAAAAAAAGGCAAATCCATTGGCTGTCAGCCTCTATTTTGTAACTACGTGGGACATCCTGACTGTCAGCCACGCAGCTGGTTCTGGAGAGTATACATGCGCAGAAAGCATCAAAACAAAGTGGAAACTACAAAACTGGAGGAAAGAGATTAACTGGCCCCGTCTTTGTTGAAGGCAAAGATTTGGGCTCATTTTGGTTTTCACTGAACGAGTTTGATGAGCTTCACTGTGTGCAAGGTTTGCAAAATGAAAATGAGGCACTTTGGGAACAAGATAAATGGGCTCACATCAGTTTTACATGAAAAATCAAATTTGAATCGAATCGTGGCCCCAAAAAATCAGAATCAAGTTAAATTGCGGGATAGTAAAAGATCCCTACCCCTAGTGGCAACCCTTGTAGAATGGATCTGCTGAGAGAACAACATGTTTACGATATTTTTAGAAACACCACATAAAAAGATTGGTTGCCTGTGTGAATGGGGCCTTCTTTGCATTATTTTATTTAATAAAATATTTGCTACATGTTATGAAAGTGTAAGACTTCAGTGTCTGATATTTATTCATCTAAAGGTCTCAACATAAAAATTGTTCTAATTTATACACTATGGTTCAAATTAATGTGCCTTTATAGTTCAAATCTAATTCAAATTTCATTTGTCACATTCACAGTAATACACTGAATGACTTGCAGTGACGTGCGTTTTGTGACCAATCTGTACACAAAAGCTAAAAATAAAAGTTTGGATATAAAATGAAACAACACAATTAAAATTCAAGAATACAAAAGGTGTGAAACAATAAAAAAACACGGGGTTATAATGTACAATATAAGCTAAATGTAAAAAGAACTAAACAGAAAAAATTGACTGGTGAAAAGCAATTGTGTACTCTTTGTGTATGGTTTAAAAAGGAAGGATTTCATATAAAAATGTTATAGTTCGTAGTGTAAAAATAGTGAAAAGTAGATTGTCCATGAGATACTCAGTATCACTGTTTTAGTTACAATGTTTTTCAAAAAATCTATGTTAAAAGAGAAAAACTTGTGCGCATAATTGTTCCAGGTTTGTGTACTGACAACATGGCCTGTAGTCTGCGTGCTAAAGTTGCTCAACTTGTTTGTATTTTTTTCTCTTTTGTCAGGGAAATGGAAGCAGAAGAGTTTATTCCTCCTCCGGAGTGTCCTGTTTTCGAGCCGTCATGGGAGGAGTTTCAGGATCCCTTAGGCTACATCGCCAAAATACGTCCAATCGCAGAGAAGTCTGGAATCTGTAAAATTCGACCCCCACCAGTGATTACTCGCTTATTATCTCACTTGTTTGGTTCAAAACTGATAAAGCCGACAACACACCTTTTGTTGTTATAATCTCAAGTTTGTTTGTTTTGTTTTTAAACAAAACCAAGTTTAAATAGTTTAACCAGGGTTAAGCTTAGTCTACATTTCCTCATATTTTATAGACTGTCTGCTTGGCTTTTGTTTCCTCTACAAACATAAAATTTACGCTGTTTAATTGTAAGTTGTATACTTTTAAATAAAAGTGTGCCTGTGTTTCTAAATAGGACTGGCAGCCACCATTTTCTGTTGAACTGGATAGCTTTCACTTCACTCCTCGCATCCAGAGGCTTAATGAGTTGGAGGTATGTTACACACACACACACACACACACACACACACACACACACACACACACACACACACACACACACACACACACACACGCACACACACACACGCACACATGGTATAATACAGCTGTTTATGGTAACGTTTTACTGATTTCCATTAATTTATACAGCCTAACCCCTTTACCCTAAACTTAACCTCACAGGTACCTGACCCTAATCTAAACTCAATTCACACCTTGGTCCTAAACTGAGCCCCTGACCCATGAACAGCATTTACCCCCATGGGGACTAAGGCTTATATCCCCATAAGTAGGTGTGAATGCTGTCCCGATTCAGGGGCTGCAGCCTACCTGGATCGCAGCCCACGGATGCTACACCCTTCACAGTCTAAGCAGTCTGCATAAAAAGGCTGTGAAATGAGACGGTCTTGTCTTTGGATGATGAATGTTTGCGTGACGCTAACCTGTTACCATAGTGAAACATAATCTTTTTTTTTTTATCTTCTTCTTTGTGCTTCCTTTCATTTCATTTATGATTTGTGATTTTTATTGTATAGACATTTTTTCTTTTTGGTTTTTAATGAACAAATAAATATAAAAAAAATCATTTTATATCTTGTGCCTTCAGATTTAAAATGCATTTAGAGTAATAAATAAAAAAATATTAATTTGGTTCAGCTCCAGCATCAATACTTGTAGCTGCATTTTATTTACCATCTCACCACAGCATAAATCAGCTAAGTTGCTAAACATACATTTAAAAACAAATTCTTCGGTCCATGATGAATTTCCAAACTATACCGACTTGGTAAAAAAAAAGTTTTTCTGTTTAGTTTGCTGATGGAGCAATGAATCCTGCGATGTCCACAGCCTGGAAGGATACTCAAATGCAGCCATTATTTTTGGGATTTTGAGGGCCTCATGAGAAGACGCCTGTGAATTGTGACWGCCTTTGGTTCGAGGCAGTGACATAAGCAATTGACAAATGCACACTTCGAAGGATGCAGCCCCTGAATTGAGACAGCCATACAGTTCATCAATTAATGTCATAAGGTTATAAACCAAGCTTAGGGCTGCGCGGTTTAAGCAGTAAACGGTAGAAACGGTATGAAGTTGGCCTACGGTAGAAATTTACCCTCTACCGTCCTATCGTCATTTCGTCATCGCACCTGTGTCAACAGGGCTGCGAGTGCGGCGAAAACTGAGCAGGAGTTTCTAATATAATAAAGAAGTGACAGCGTTTTAAAACACATAGAGAGAATAAATCCTCACAATTCCCCCCTCCCGCTGTGGAAAAGTTACGTCAGGATCATTTCCTCCCTCCCTCTCGCTGCACATCGCGCAGAGCGAAGCTACAACCGTAGTTTTTTCACACCCAAGTTGTCGGAGGAAAAACTTGTTTTTTTATGTATTGTTACCCACAGAGGTGATAAAAAGGTAGACGTTCGTTCAGTTATAAATCCATCTTGTTAATGTAAAGTCGGCTTCTGCTCTGATGATGAAGATGATGAAAATGATAGCGCAGCAGAGCAGAGCGGGTCACTTCAACAGGCAGAAGCCCATTGTATGGCAAGCAGATGTTATATTTATTTTTCTTCAAAACACTTACATTCCAGTAATCTGAAATAGTTTTATGACAGGACTGTGTGCAGCTTAAGCCCCTTTACGGTCCTGTCACACTATAACATTTTAGGCAACTTATGCCAACTTAGAATGTTTTTATGTCTAAATGGCTCATTTTACCTGAATTACTGGTTATAACATCCACTGTATTTTGATATTGTTGAAAATTTGAGAAATGTTTTTGTTTGTTGTTGAAACCGTTTTGCAATATAGATAAAACATTGTTTTGCACTTCTGTTATGTTCATTTGCACTACAGCAAAACTACTGGGTTTGATTATGATTACAGTTTTCTGCAAGAAAAAAAGCTTTAAAAATTACATTATCTTTTCTTTTTATGATAATTTTTTACCGCGATATATACCATTACCGTGAAGGGATTCAATTTATACCGTGATATAAATTCGAGGTCATACTGCCCAGCCCTAACCAAGCTATAGTATAGTTCTGATGGACCCCTGGGTTTATCTAAAAAAAAAAAAAATCAGATGACTGTATTGATCAAGGTGTTTTTATAACTGATTAGGGACACTGAGTGAACCTCTGCTTCAGATTCCAGTTATTTTCCACCAGTTGTGACATCTGAGTTAAATGTAGCATGTTGCTAAAGAGCAAATTACAGAGACATATTCAACATCTTATCGTAGTTTGGTTTTTCATTTGGAAAATGACCAGTTCACTTTTGCTGGGTTACACAAAGCAATATAAGGACTATTTAGAAAAARCAGTCATTTCTTTTACAACAATTGTTTTCTGGCTTGCTGTCTTAAAAAGTAGACAACCATGGACTTGCCTGTATTTGTGTCTGACTGACTGTCTGTCTGTCTGTTAGCCAAATATCTCATGAACCACTTGATGGATTTTCCTGAAATTCAGAAAGTATTATACATCTGCAACTGATTAACTTTTAATTTCAACCCGATTCAAGAACACAGCTACAACTAATTGAAATGTCTAAATTAAACATAACATAAAGCTATTGTTGCATTCAAATCTGCAAGTGCAAGTATCAGTATAAAACCCAATAACACCATATGTATTGTTTTGTGTCAGAAACGGACCAAAAAAAAAACATTGTTTGGGACATTTTAGCACTCATGGTATTTTCTTTATCTTCTAATTTTAGGCTGAGACGAGAGTGAAGCTCAATTATTTGGACCGCATCGCCAGGTTTTGGGAGATTCAAGGGTCTTCTTTAAAAATCCCACACATTGAAAGGCGCATTGTTGATCTTTACAGCCTGTCAAAGGTAGGTAAAAAACATAAAACCCAAAACTACAAGTTGATAATTTTTAAAAATATATTTCATTTTGAGTTGCCAAAATTCTAACCAAAAAGTTGCTGCGTTCCAGGTCGTGACAGATGAAGGAGGTTTTGAGATGGTCTGTAAGGAGCGGCGCTGGGCTCGTGTAGCACAGAGGCTTGGCTACCCTCCAGGCAAGAATGTCGGCTCTCTCCTGCGCTCRCACTATGAGAGGATTGTCTACCCGTTTGAAATGTTCCAGTCGGGGGCCAGCCTTCTGGTATTTCTCCACACATTCCTGCCTCATCTTTTTGTTCCAGCAGGGCGGATCAGATTATTTTCTAAATAAGTGCAGAGTATTTTAGTTTTCATATTATAGTTACAGCATGTGTTTTGTAAGTTGTCTGTAGTGTGTCCCGTTTGGCTTTATAGATTTTTTTTTTTCTATTGTTTGAATCATTTCTAGCATTACAAGCCAAAACACTATGATGGTGAAGAAGTGGATAAAGAGTACAAGCCTCACTCCATCCCACTGCGACAGTCCGTGCAGCCGTCTAAGATGAGCAGCTATGGACGCAGAGCAAACCGCTGCCAGCCTGATGTGAGTCAGAAAACATGTCCTTACCTCGCATTCAGTCTGTTTACATGACACCTGTGCAACCAGAAAATGAAAAAGTTTTTCTGTTGTTTATGCATTTGTTGTTTTATGTGCCTGTCTAAACATGAATTTGTTTCAGCAGCCACACTGTGGCACAAATTTAAGGCATTGGGTTTTTCTGAAAAATAATTTGCTGCAGAGCAACAAGTGCAAAATATATATATTTTTTTATTTTAAAAATAAGAGATTCAATAACATTTTTCTTTTTAACCCAAGAATTCACTTATTCAATTGTAGAGGTTAAAGGTTATAATGCTAAAAGTACTTAACAGGGCATGACATGCAATTTAATTCTGTTACACACTGGCTTCCTGTTAGACAGCACACACACATTTGGCTTCACGCTGCCTCTGCTCAGTCACTGTGACGGAACAAAGGGCTGGGTTTCTGCTGGGTCTTAAAAAGTCTAAAAACRTGTAACATTTGAAAATCCAAATTTTAGGCCTTAAAAAGTCTAAAATTCATTGATTTATTGTGTTCAAGTCTTCATTTATTTAAAATAGGTCTATTTATAATGCTTAATAAAATGCACCTGTAAAACTTATTTATTAATTGAATATAGTTACAACTAGAAGCACGCAACCTACATTGCTGCCAACCAGCTTTCGTTTTTATCACTGGATGCGGAAAAAGAAGAGCAGTTGCTAACATGGGAAAATTCAAATGTAACACTTGATGTCAAATGATTTCTTTTGTAAATTGTCGTGATATAAGTCTTAAATTTCATTCTTTAAAAGTTTTTTTAAAAAGTCTTAAATTTGAGTTTGGAAACCTACAGAAACCTTTTAAAGGGAAGAGTGTCTCTTTTAGAAAAATAGTGGTTTTATTTAGTATTTTTTAGCATCTACATGAACACCAWTTGTGTGTAAAGCATTTTTTTTCACTGAACCGTACCAAAGTCACACAGCTGAACAATAACTACAGCGTTTAATAAATTCAAGTTAATTATTTTTTAATCTACAGTGTAACAAACGTCCAACAGTTGTTTTAAGGGATGTTAAACTGTGAACATCCTCTCTGTGTGTGGATCCTCAACTCTGAGTAGGACCAACTAATTAAAGACAAACTTTAAATTTGGACGTTAACTACAAACTATGAACCGATGCTGCTGGTGTTCATAAAATAAATGAAGTTGTGGTCAAACCAAGAGTTTGTGTTTCCTTAAGTCTTGATCTGTAGGCCATGCTGTCATGATGTTAACTTTCTTTATCTTGTCACTGTGCACTTATGTGTCAGTCATATGAAGGTGACCGTGCACTCAGAGCGCATCCCAGCTTGCTTATTCTTCATCCTGTTATTGTTGCTTCTGCCATTGTTGCTTTCTGCTCTGTGAATTATAACTGTGTGTCTGCTTTTTGTGTGTGAGTGTAAATAACTTCCTGACCATCTCATCACTTTGTATTTTTCATAGACTAAGGCTTGTTTTTTTTTTATTTTTCCCCCCGCTCATTTATATGTGCAAGCCATCATTTATTCACTTACTTTTATTATTTTTAGCTTACAAATATGGCTGTAGTATAAATCTTATTTATTGAACTTACGAGTGAAGAGTTCCTGCTGTTCAGCTGCTCAGTGCTGAAAGAGGTGGATATTTCAGATAATCACAAATATTTTAAATCCATTATAAATTAACACGACACTTAGGTGTACTTTAACATTTATTTGGCATGCAAAGACAGTTATGCCTTCATTACTGAAAAATGAAACTTTCAGGCATGTTTCTGGGTTCTGCCTCAGTAAAATAAAAATAAAAATCAAAGATGCTGACATTACAGCTGAGTCACCTGTTATTTACTGTGGCTGAAAATTTAAAGGTCAGCCCTGAGAACAGTACAGAAATCTGGTTATCTTAAATGTAGAAAGTTTATATTTATTCCAGCTTATTTTATATCACCAACGAAAACTGATCTTCAGTGATTTGGGATCAAGTTCTGTCAGGGCTGTAAATTAGACAGAACAAACACTGAATAAAAATGTATAATTAAAATGATCCAATAGCTCCAAGTGGTTTCAATTGTGTGGTTTTTACTGGCTGATCTTTCCAGACTTCTGTCCCCTCCCCTCTCCATTTCCCTCTTGTCTTAGTTTATTGTTGCTGTTATTGTCTCCCCTTGCAGGGTCCAGAGGATCTGGTCCCCCATCCTCTCACCACTGGCTCTCAACTCATCTCTGCGGTACTGCCTCTTGAGCATAAGAGCTCACTTTCTGCCCCCCCCACTCGTTCCCTTCTGCTCTTCCTTGACCACCATACTTGTATTAAAATTGTSCCATAGGTTGCACTTCTTTTCCATTAATTACTAAAACATTTTCATCCACATTCAGTCATACCCTCTGCTTACCTTAGCGTTGGGTTGCTGTGGTAGATGTGGTGATAAAACGTTGCTTTTGTGGCTGAACATCTATAATATGTTCTGAAAACATTATTAGCTGGATTTTTTTCAGTGAACATAGAGAGAGATTGTCCTCGACATTTTATTTTATTTAGGATGTGTTAGCATAAATTATTTTACACAAATATTGAGTCAAATATTTCTTGTAGCTTTATGTTGGAACAAGTAGTTTTATAATTTTTTGTGTTTATAGACATTTTTTGTGAGAATCCAAAAACATTATATATGCCAGTGAGATTTCATTATCCTGTATGACAGATAAACTGTGTGCCTTTAAAGAAATACTCAGTTCAGCTACTTTTGACAACTTGTCCAGTGTAGTTCTTGAGCTGATGYGTTCTCTCATCTCACATACATCTGAAGTAGTTCTTGTCTTCTAATCCTTACTTAATGAGCCAGCTGACATTTTCCCGTCTTCTGTTTCGACTCACTCTCTGTTCACTACAAAAGCTAACAGTGTGGCTGCATGCGATGAGTGCACAAACATAAAAGTATCAAATGTGTTTGATTTATTAACTTCACAAACAAATAACTGCTTTCATGACAGACCCATAAGTTGTATATCAAAATGTGTAATCGTCATTTACAGTGGGGAAAATAAGTATTTAGTCAGTCACCAATTGTGCAAGTTCTCCCACTTAAAAAGATGAGAGAGGCCTGTAATTGACATCATAGGTAGACCTCAACTATGAGAGACAAAATGTGAAAAAAAAAAATTGAGAAAATCATTTTGTCTGACTTTTAAAGAATTTTTTTGCAAATAATGGTGGAAAATAAGTATTTGGTCAATAACAAAAGTTCATCTCAATACTTTGTTGTATATCCTTTGTTGGCAATGACAGAGGTCAAACGTTTTCTGTAAGTCTTCACAAGGTTGGCACACACTGTTGCTGGTATGTTGGCCCATTCCTCCATGCAGATCTCCTCTAGAGCAGTGATGTTTGGGGGCTGTCGGCGGGCAACACGGACTTTCAACTCCCTCCAAAGGTTTTCGATGGGGTTGAGATCGGGAGACTGGCAAGGCCACTCCAGGACTTTGAAATGTGGGCAGGTGTCTTTTATACTGTTAACGACTTCAAACAGGTGCCATTAATACAGGTAATGAGTGGGGGAAAGAGGAGCCTCTTAAAAAAGAAGTTACAGGTCTGTGACAGCCAGAAATCTTGCTTGTTTGTAGGTGACCAAATACTTATTTTCCACCATTATTTGCAAAAAAATTCTTTAAAAGTCAGACAAAATGATTTTCTCAAAATTTTTTTCACATTTTGTCTCTCATAGTTGAGGTCTACCTATGATGTCAATTACAGGCCTCTCTCATCTTTTTAAGTGGGAGAACTTGCACAATTGGTGACTGACTAAATACTTATTTTCCCCACTATAGCTGCTGTTGGATACCAAGTCTCTACAGTTTTGCTTGCTTCAAGCCAAACCATTTAGTGATTATTATTTTTAATCTCATCATCATCATCATCTTCTGTTTCCACTGCTGCTCTCTGCTGGCAGAGAATATAGAGCAAAAAATGAAAAGGTTACAGCTGCATGACAAAAGGCCTTGCAACTGCAAACAGGTGGAAAAAGTCTAAACAGTTGTGTTTTTATGTTGCTCTTTTAAAAAGAAAATATTGAACAGCATCTTTTATGGCATAGGATGTGTACTGTCACTTCTTAAGTTTGTCATTAAAAACAGACAGGTATGTCTTATGCAGGTGTTGCTTTGTAACACAACCTCTGGTTGCAAATACTCCAGCTAGGGGTGCTGTAGTTCTATGACTCCAGACTACCTGTTTGTACTGCTGAATATGTGCGCCTAACGTTTTCTCTTTGAGAAAAGATGTGAAATGTTGAATGTAGAAGAGCAAGAAAAGTTAGTTACAACCAAGTTTAGAATAAAGGATTCAGTTGAAGTTTGTGAACTCGTCTACTCATCTGAACAAGTTTGTGCTGTTTTGGGTGTTTTGTAGTTCAGGTGAACCTGGGTATGCAGTGTTTTTAAGTACACACTTTGTGTTTGCAGACTGGAACTCTGACTTAGGGATGCACGATAAATCGGCATTGACATCAGTATCRGCCGATATTGGTCATTTTTTAGAATATCAGTATCGACCCGATATGTAAAACTGGGCCAATATTAATGTCCGATATTGATTTCCCACTTTTTATCTTTGTGTTTCTGTTTTGGTAGGCGAAAGGTTTGGTCGAGTGGTATCTGTTTGATCATGATATTAATATTGACACTGCGCAGCCAGGAATAACTGAAGTAGAGACATGTGAGAGGTCTGCTTCTTTATTTACGGTATCGAAAAAAGACACAATTGTGTTTGTGCGTGTATGTTTGTGTAATATCGGTATATATTGGTTATCGGCCATAACAGCAATAATTATATCGTATATCGATATCGGCTGAAATTTTCATATCGGTGCATCCCTACTCTGAATCATTTATGCTCTGCACTAGTTTTGACACGTTACAGTTTGACAGATCAGTTTCATTGAAACTGATTTTTCCTGGTTTTCTTCAAGCAGCCTGGCTCCTCTAATTGCAAGAGAGCAACATTCAGAGTGGTTTATTGAGAGCAAAGAGCTTGTTGAATAAGATCAGCTTGTATTTGTTCATGAATAAATGTTTAGTGTACTGTTTTTCTGTTCACGGTAAGGTAATAAACGCTGGTCATTACCAGGCTAATCAGGTTCAGCTGATTCAGTGCATTTTCACATATTTGTATCTCTTTCTAAATGAATGGTGTTTTTGTTTGTTTGATAGTAATGCCAAGTAGGAAAAACTGAATACATGCCTTTAAAGATGTTGTTGTTTTTTTACTTTTAGCAACCAAGTTCCAAACCTTGACATGTTTGTCAAACGACTGCAGATGAAAGCCTGAAATGTGTAGAAATGATGTTGCTGTGCTTTGGGTTATTTTTTCCTTTTTTCAGTCACACACTAACAACATTAACCTGAATTAGATGCATATTAAAAATAACTAAATGATTCAAACCTAATTTCAGCAGTACTGTGGTTGCATCTGCTGGTGTTTTCTGGTGGTTGCTCCTGATCTTTCAGTTTTCACACTGATATAGGTTAACATTTTCTTGCTTGTACACCTTGCCTAATCTTTTTTTATTTTTTTTGTGATGCATTGTTACACTCCTGTGTCATAACTTTGTGTTCTGCACTTGGCCTAGACTGTTGCTTTGCTCTTTGTGCTTAAGAGAGTAGCTGCAGCCCATTGGTGCCTTCTTGATTAAAAAGAAACTGTCCATTATCCACAGCCTGAGCCTACAGAGGAAGACATTGAGAAGAACCCAGAGTTGAAGAAATTACAGATCTACGGTGCGGGGCCTAAGATGATGGGACTTGGACTGGTGGCAAGAGACAAAGGTCTTAGGAAGAAAGGTAATTGTGGTTTCTACAGAGGAATTTAACCTCCTTACCTGAAACATACAGCATGTATATATCTAAAGTAAGTACAAAGTCAGACCAACTAGAATTAACAAGATAGTAAAATGAGAAAATACAAGCTTAGATGAACACTTAGCTAATCGTGTTAATCAGTCTCATAAATTATTCCTGCTCTTATTTACATTGCTCCATTGCATTGAGGTTTGTGCACACGTTGGTAAAGTGAGTTTCTTCTAGATTTGGGTGTAATCTTCTGAACAGATGGCCTCGTGTTTGTCTCCGAATATAGGGACCTCATCACTGCAGGGTGCTCGAGTCCTGAAATGGTTTTCAATTGCCTATATGCCACGGACATCCGACCCAGCACTGGATGCCACTCCCAGCACTTCCGGTTCACAGTCAACACAGTGTTAGCAAAAGATTTTTTCACCCAACAACGACTCTTAATGATCTCCACAGGACAGAATTAGCATATTACATGTACCAACATAAACACAGGAGGCGTACAGGTCCAGCCAAGTGGGAAAAAAATCACTCCAAAGTGGWTWAAGCCATAAAAAACAAAGGAAAGACGTTCGTGTTTATGGTTCCAGAATTTAGCCTTTTTTGCTATTCCGTGGCTGCTTGTTCTGTGAATTTTTCACGTAGAGCTGTGACACTTATATTGTTGGAAAGARCAGAGTCTGGGCTTTAAATCGTTGGGCTACTTGTTTGGTTTGAATCGTTTTCCCCGACGTTAGTGAACTGAAAACGTAATGATTATCAGGCGGAGGTTCTGCTCTGTCACGTTCTCTCGTCCTGGCCACACCTCCCCCTACCCACACCCCCTCCCCTACCCACTTTGATGCATTTTTCAAATTTCGCCTTGGGGCGGAGTTATCTTTTCACAGGGGGGTAAGATACACTTTAATGACTGGCATATAGGCAATTGGCTGCCATTTTGAACAACCTACAGAGATTCATTGTTTTTCTAATTCACTTTCATGAACTTTAGCTAACCTTCTGACTGAGGCAGAGTCCAAGATGCACCTGTGAGGTTTTATTTGGGATTTCTCAAAGTGTGGCATAGTCTGACCTTAATGTGACTTTGCTGGGATTTCTCCTGGGATAATTAGCAACTGTTTTTGGATATTCATCATCGTCACCTGTAAATACTTGCCTCTGTGTAGAATAGTGGACTATAGTTAGTCTTAAACTGTTCCCAGATTGCTGAGCAGTAATAATTGCTTCTTTAAGGTCAATGCTCATGTCTTTCCACTATCTAATCATTTAATAGTTCATTTTGTTAGCAGAACTTGGTTGACTCTCTTTTAGGAAAGCAGTAAGGGTTCATTTAGATTCTTATGGACAACTTTTGTATTTTAGCGTGTTTTTGATGACGATTCAAGATTCCATGGGTTTTCTGAGATGGATTTGTTTCTATTTTCAAGACTTGGTTTAAAAAAATCACTGTTGAAACATACATTGTTTGGGGCCTGATCTTTCAGTAAAGTGAAAGTGAAGCAATCCCTGTCAATACACTGCATTTTTCAATTTATCACAGATTCTTAGATTTATTCACAATCAAACCTTTCAGTCATTAACTAAAAATAGGACCATAAAACCGAAACAACATACAGCTGCCATGTATTTATGCCAGCTGACATTTAAATAAATAAAGTAGATTGGTTATAAATACCAGAAAGGTGGCTAATMAAATGCCAGATCATTCCCTTTGGATAAAAAATTTGGTCTTTGAGGTAATTTTGTTGATGATCTTTGCATTAAACCTTGAAATTAAGCATAGTTTTTACCATGGATGTAAATTTAATCTCAAAGTCTGTAAACTGCAATGTCCTGTATCAAATGTCCTATCATCTCACAGCTTTTCATATTACAGCATACATTTTACTGTGTAGGATAACTGTTTCTAAACCTAAGCACATATTGCTCTTATTTTAGATGAGCTGCCTCAAACTGTTACCATCAAAGACATGGAGTCGCCAGCTTCCAGTGAAACTCCAGTCAAACCTGAGCCACCGGAGCCCGAAGAGAGGCAGACTGATGGAAACACATCTGGCCCTCAACTGCCTCATCATAGTGTTACAGTAAAGATGGAAGTGAAGAAAGAAGAGCTGCAGGGTGAGGACTACAAGGATGAAGATGATCCGGATGGATCCAAAATGACCATGAGGCTAAGACGCAACCCAAACAACCCACAGTGTGTAAGTGCAGCAAGGAATGTTCAAAACTCTGCATCTAATTATTTATAAATTATTATTAAACTCTGGATTCTTGTTGCCTAAATTGTCTGATGACTTTTTTCTTCCTTTGAAAGGTGGATTCTTACATCTGTCGAATGTGTGGTCGTGGAGATGACGATGAGAAGCTTCTTCAGTGTGAYGGCTGTGATGAGAACTACCACTCTTTCTGTCTCCTGCCCCCACTCTCTGATGTACCCAAATGCAACTGGCGCTGCCCAAAATGTGTTGCAGAAGTAAGTAGAGAGTTTTATAAGCTCTCATCGATGCTTCTTAACCATCAAGACTCATGATGATTTTATTTTTCCCCACTTCTTATTTTAGGCGTGTAAGAAGCCTTCAGAGGCATTCGGCTTCGAACAAGCAACAAGAGAGTACACTCTGCAAAGCTTTGGAGAAATGGCAGATGCTTTCAAAGCAGATTACTTTAACATGCCTGTTCATGTGAGTGCACCTAAACACGAACACTTCTGTTTTCACAAAACGTTATAGGTCAAAGTGAGGATAGTAGAAAAAGACGAAGACCAAAGTCTAATCTGTGGCTTTTATGTGATTTGTGTAGATGGTTCCTCCTGAGCTGGTGGAGAGAGAGTTCTGGAGGTTAGTCAGTTGTATAGAAGAAGACGTGACCGTGGAATATGGAGCAGATATACACTCTAAAGAGTTTGGCAGTGGCTTTCCAATGATGAATGGACAAAAGAATCTCACAAAAGAAGAGGAGGTGTGTATGTTACAGGTTTCTGTTCAGGAGATATTTTGCTAACAGTCACACATAAAGCAGTTCTATATTCTCCCATTTTTCAAGGTAGTAGGTGTGTCAGAACAGCTCTTAACAATGAAAGGTTCATTAATTTAGGAACGTAAAGTTTCCATCTGTTCATTCCTCACACTGGGATCTAGAATTGCTTTCCTTATTCATTATTAGTATTGACTCATTTCAGGTTAATCCTAATAAACCAAAATAATTATGAAAACTGAGCAAAAAGATATGTATGATCAATATATCTAAAAATACAAATGAATAACTTAGACCACTTTTGCTAATCTAAGTTAGAACTAAACTACCATATGCATTTTATAATGAAACAAATTGAAACCCAAAAATCATCCATAAAGTTAGGAGATCGTGTTTAAATGAAGCTTAATTATGACTTTTTTAAAAATTATTTGCTAATGTACTACCCCATTAGAGTTCAATATTTTTTTATATTTATTCATATAGAACATAAAGAATAAATCATCATAATTTCTCCCTCTGCCATCAACACTGTAAAATACATTGTGCATTAAGCATATAAACGACAGTAGTTGTTTTGTTCTGCTTGTTGGAGGAGGAGCAGCTTGTTGTTTTTGTTTTGTTAATCGCGGAGATTGAAAGAAGACGTGGACGTTAGTTGTTAACATAATAAGACCAGATGAGCTGCTCCTCGAAGCTGTGTCTCGGGCTAATTTAACTATCGGCCCATAAGTATGTATCTCTAGCCTGGTAAAAACCTGGGGTTTGTGTTATAAGGAATCTTCAGTGTTTGTTGTCTTTTGTTCTTGTCAGGATTACGCCCGTAGTGGCTGGAACTTGAATGTGATGCCAGTTCTGGAGCAGTCGCTCCTTTGCCACATCAATGGAGACATCTCTGGGATGAAGGTGCCATGGCTTTATGTGGGCATGGTGTTTTCAACCTTCTGCTGGCACATTGAGGATCATTGGAGCTACTCCATCAACTACCTTCATTGGTACATGCCAACATGTTGCATATGTTTGAGTGTTTATGCCATACCCTTAAATCGCTGCGATGCATTTACAGAAGAAGCTCATCTGAGTCTCTTCTTCCCATGGTTGCATCATCTTTAGGGGAGAACCCAAGACTTGGTATGGAGTTCCCTCTGTGGCAGCTGAGCAGCTTGAGGACGTTATGAAGAAGCTGACGCCAGAGCTGTTTGAGTTTCAGCCTGACCTCCTGCATCAGCTTGTTACCATCATGAACCCCAACATCCTCATGGCTCACGGTGTACCGGTCAGCCCCTCGTCAACACATGCTCATGTCGGAACTGTTGTTTGTTGAAGAGTTTGTTCCATTGGCTGTTTTGTTCATATCGGCAGGTTGTACGCACAAACCAATGTGCCGGTGAGTTCGTCATCACCTTCCCCAGAGCCTATCACAGTGGCTTCAATCAGGGATATAACTTCGCAGAAGCAGTCAACTTTTGCACTGCAGATTGGGTATGTTAGTTCAGAATGTCTCCCAAAAAAATCACATCATTTTCACGATTCTTTTTGCTAACAACACCTTCAACTCTTTCCTGTTAGCTCCCTGCCGGTCGACACTGCATTGAGCACTATCGGCGTTTGAGGAGGTATTGTGTCTTCTCTCACGAGGAGCTCACCTGTAAAATGGCTACCAGTCCAGAGAAACTGGACCTGAACCTGGCCGCAGCTACTCATCGGGAGATGTTCATTATTGTTCAAGAGGAGAGAAAGCTGCGCAAGAATTTGATGGAAAGGGTGAGGCATGAAAATAAATATTACTTTAAGTAAACAGTAGTAGTTTAGTCAATGCCCAGTTAAATGTGATTCTTATTGTTGACTTAGAAGAATGTGTGGAGAATTTTTCTTTTTGTGCTTGCAGGGCATTACAGAAGCAGAACGGGAGGCCTTTGAGCTGCTGCCTGATGATGAGAGACAGTGTGATAAATGTAAGACCACGTGCTTCCTCTCTGCTCTGGCGTGCTCAAACTGCCCCGAACATCTGGTGTGTCTCTATCACACTCAGGATCTGTGCAACTGCCCCACTGAAAAGCTCTACCTCAGGTATTTACCTCCCGTCTAAATATGTCAGCCTGAAGATACTAGTGTTGTTTTCAGTTTACGTGCCTGTTCTTTGCTAAACCAGAATATTTTCATATTTTGCAGGTACAGATACACCTTGGATGAGTTGTTAGCGATGTTACATCGATTAAAAGTCCGGTCCGAGTCTTTTGATTCCTGGGCCAACAGAGTTAAAGAAGCACTTGAACAGGAAGAAGGAAACAAGATAGGTAAGCTATCATCAAAACATATTCTGATAGAAAGGTTTTTGTTTTATTAATATAATAATAATTTATTAATATGAAATGCTTTTTAAATCAGAAATGTATGACCTCGAGAAGCTAAAGATGGAAGCAGCAGAAAAGAAGTTTCCTGACAACGAACTTCTTCGGAAGCTCAACTCAGTTCTGAAAGACATAACGTACTGCCAACAGACGAGTACCGAGCTGCTCAATAATCCAAAAACTGGGTAAGTCGGATTTCAAATGATATTTTACACTAAGTGCTCACGTCTTTTTACTTACCTTTACTTGTTTTTTTTTTTAGTGAAGGAAGAATAACTTGGCTGGATCTGAAATCCTTGGTTGAGAAAATGCAAAACCTGCCATGTGTTATAAATCAGTTGGAAGAAGTTCAGGTAAGAAATGGAATAAGTTGGTATTTTTATAGTTTAGTCTGAAAACCAGTGGATTAAAGGGGACCTATTATGCAAAATTCACTTTTTAAAGGTTTTTTTACTCAACTTTGGGTATGTACTTCTTAAAAAAACAGTCCTAGGACCAAAAAAATGCACCCAGGGGCAGTAAAATACAATTACTGTAAGTAAATGTATTTTTAATGTATATTAACGACACGTTTTATACTTTCGTCATTTTGTGATGTCACAAGCCGTACAACAACCCACCGGAACCTGCGTTAGCCCCTCACCTAGCAAAGCTCGGGTGAGACTCCATGTCCTCGGTGTAAAGAGCCGTCGCGGTTGTTGTTGTGCAATGCGCAGCTCACTTTATAACAAGTCTCCAATAGGGCAATGGGTAGGGTGTTGGGCCAGAGAGTGGGAGACCAGGGTTTGAGACCGGCACGGACACAATTTAATTATTTAATTATTTTCATTCGTTATGAACACGTTTTCTCATGTAGCTCTATTGTTTAGCTTATTAAAGCCTTGTTAAAGCCTATTTGTTTGAGTTTCTGAGGTATTTTGACCGCTGCTGCTCCCTGCTCTGGTAACAGTATGCAGAGTGAGGGCAGAGCAGAGGATGGAGAAAAAAAAAAGAAGCTGCGACCGACTCTGCCTCTGGGTCTGACTCAGGGTCTCATATTGTTGTACAACGGAGCTTCTGCTATTATTAGCCATGCTAACGTAAACGCTGGCTTTGGAGGGCGGAGTTAATGTCAACAGATTTTTGGAGGGCGGAGTTAATGTCAACAGATTTTTGGAGGGCGGAGTTAATGTCAACAGATTTTTGGAGGGCGTTACCAACAGAGCTCATTAACATAAACAGCTCTTCTGACCAGAAGTCAGAGCAGGCAGAACTATAAAATGGGAAATTTTATTATCTGAGAATTATTTTGTGCTTTAAACTGAATGAACATGGTCTGGATAGCCCACAGACATACCATAAATATTCTAGGACCCATAATTGGTCTCCTTTAAATAAACCTCATATCTTAACAAAAAGTTTTATTGATCTCAAGTTAAAAGTCCACATCCTGTGCTTTTTAAGGCGGTTTTAAAGACCGTCGAGGATTTCCAAAAACGAGCTCAAGTTCTCATCAACAACAAGGACTGGAGGAAAGACTCGCCCCCACATGAGCAGCTGCAGTCTTTATTGGAGGAAGGGGCCAAGCTGTCTGTGCTGGCTCCAGAGTGTGATCTACTCCAGGGCCTGAAGGAGCAAGGTCACTGGCTGGAGGAGGTGAGGCGCACGCTTGGCACAGCAGGAGGAGAGAAGCACGAAGTGACGCTGAACGTGCTGAGGAACCTCATGGAAGCAGGCTGCAACGTACCTCAGAGCGGGTCTGTGGAGACGGCCATGGCTGAGCTTCAGGAGCTGCTCACAATAGCTGAACGGTGGGAGGAAAAAGCACAGATCTGCTTAGAACAGAGGTAAGACCATTTAAACCACAACATTTACTGATCTGAGATAGTAGCTGTTACAATGCTCTGACATTTGAAGACTTTGAAAAGTTTTCTGTTTTGCTCCGCAAGGCAAAAGCATCCTCTCTCCACTCTGGAGGCTATAGTAAATGAGGCCCAACTTATTCCCGTCAAGCTTCCCAACATTCTGGCCTTGCAGAGCTGTCTTGTACGAGCTCGGGCCTGGGTAACAGACTTGGAGGAAATACAGGTGATTTGTTCGTTGATTTTGATCAGTTCTTTTGCATTTGTTTGGTTTACGGTAAGAAAATGCCTAAAATGTGTTTTTTTTTTTCTGTAGAATGGAGAGCATTATCCGTGTTTGGACGACCTGGAAGGACTGGTAGCTATTGGAAGGGACTTACCGGTTTTCATGGAAGAGTTAAGGCAGCTGGAACTGCAGGTGGCAAGTGCTCACTCCTGGAGGGACAAGGCCACCAAGACCTTCCTGAAGAAGAGCAGCCAGCACAGTCTGCTAGAGGTAAATTTATAATTATTTGTGACCAATCACATTGAAATGAGGATTAAGTCAAATTTGGTCAAAATGACCTAATCATATTTTCAGATTCCTGGCTTTAAAAGCTACATTTTGATACTTAAATCATCCTGATATCTTTAGTAGATCCAGAGATATTATTTAATTTGTCTTGTTGGTTACAATAAGACATAAATATTTGGTCTAAATCCTAATTTTATGTAATTTTAATGAGGATTTTTTTATGTCATTTAAAAAAAGAAACCTCAAAATAGTATTTGAATATTGAGATTTCACAGCTGGAAAGAAACAAAAGCTTTGATAGCTCACAGGGAAAATCTCAACATTTTTAAAAAGTTTTTCCTCAAAGTCAGATTTTTGGTTGCTGATGCTCAAAAAAGTGCTTCAGAAATCTTTTTTGGATAATATTTCAACCAGTTCAATGAAATGATACATTGATAACACATTTGTTATATTTTCAAAAAATGTAATTTTTGCAAGCGTTTTCAAAACACTATATCTGCCTTTTTCTCCACATTTTAGACCTAATCCTCGTTTGGATGTGATGGGTCACATTTTATTCACGTAACCAATTATCTTGTATGTAATGATGTTGGCACATCATGGACAAACTTTAACACGGTCTTCACTTCTTGAACTCCTGCAGGTGTTATGTCCGTGTGCAAAAAGGAGGAATAGGCGAGTTGAGACAGAACCCTTGGAAGATGATTCTGATACAAACACGTTGGGTCTTTCTGCTCAGGCCTTGAGGGACCCTGCAGCTATTGTAAGGACAGCAGAGCTTCAAAGGCTCAAAAACAAACCAAACGTTTTTATCTTTGTAGATGTTTGTTTTGTTCGTTTCCAGGGTTTTTAATTCTAAATGTCTACCTTAGGTGATGGCGTTTAAAGAAGGGGAACATCAGGAAAAAGAGGCCCTGCTGAGGTTACAGGAAGTGAACATGTGTAAGTCTGGACTAAACGCAGCCAGATGTAAGGAGAACAGGAGGTGGGATGAAGCCATGGAGACAGACACAACAGGCCAACAGAACTCTGTGAAAGAGAATGGAAGCAGTGAGCACGGCCCTGCTCCGTCTGTGTGTGTGTGTGTTGGGCAGACGGGTGCTCCTCAGCTGCGCTGCCATCTTTGTAAGGACTGGTTCCACGGTGGCTGCGTTCCTTTTCCTTCCCTGCTGCCCTCTTCCGGACCGCCCATCAACTCCCTTTGCTGGTGGGACTGGGACACTCGCTTTCTGTGTCCTCAGTGCCAGCGGTCCCGGCGCCCACGTCTGGAGACCATCCTGGCTTTGCTGGTGGCCCTGCAGAGGCTACCTGTGCGTCTGCCTGAAGGAGAGGCTCTGCAGTGCCTCACAGAGAGGGCCATCACCTGGCAGGGCCGAGCCAAGGAGGCGCTGGAGACACCAGAGCTGCAGCAGGCGCTTCAGAAGCTGCAGGAACTCAAAGAAACCCTCCACCGTGACGTCGACGAGGAGAAAGATGAGAAAAAGGAGGTAGAAGGGAATTCAGTTATTGTTTTATCAGACTCCGAGGGAGGAGAGGGAGAGGATGACATCATTGATCTAACAGAGGAGTCACCGAAAAAGAAAAAGGAAAGCAGTGCCACTCAAGTAAGTGACCTCTCTTTATTTACTCAACATGAGCTGTTCAACAGGACAGGAGCTGACCTTGAATCTGTCGTGTCCCCAAATAGGCTGAATGTCAAAATGGTGTCGGCAAAAAGTCGAGTGTTCCAGGTAAGTCTGTGTGCTGATCTCATAACACAAGAAACGATGGAGCCGTCACAGACGTTCACTCTTACTGATTGTGTTGTAGGCGTGGGCTCTCTGCTGACCCTGCTGCCTTCACTGAACGGTCGAGTGGTGGAGCTTTCCCCGTCCACCAGGGTGCAGCTGGAGGAGCTGCAGCTAGAGGGCGACCTGCTGGAGGTGTCTTTGGATCAAACACAGACCATCTACAGAGTCCTGCAAGCTGCCTCTGACCCACCCAGAGAAACACTGCACACACTCATCCAGGTCAGGAAAAACACACATTCTCTTTGTTTTATTGTTGCACTGAAGTGCAGAAAACTTTAGGTGGCCTGTTTTTGACTTTCATCTCACGCTAGTCCAATAAAACATGTCAGAGTCCAGTGTTTCCCCCAGTGTAATGTAGGCCTGGCGGGCCGCCATGCTTTGCCGTCCCTGCCGCTAGGCTAAGCGCTGCTTGATTGTTTTAAATTACGTCATTTTTATACACGGTGACGGTAGCCTCTTTCATAAATAAAATGCAATTTCCGCACAGACCAGTCCGGCTTTAAGCCTCCCCTGGTCATTCATAAGACCACAGGTGAAGGCGGGCAGGTCCCGCTCACGTAAACATGTTCATAATGAACCCGCAGCGCAGAGAGGCATGGAGCAGAACTCCACTGAGCTGAACTGGACCGCAACTTATTTATTATGGGACAGACACCTGCTGCCTCGTATCAAACAAAACAACTGAATTAGTTCACTTTGGCAGTTAAATATTAAAATATATATATAAAACAACGAAACTAACTTTTAGCCTACAAGTTGCTGTTTCGTGTCATTTATAATACTCTCTTGTTAATAAATGTGCTTGGTGAATAATCTTGTGGTCTTGTGGTCGCTCACGGATGTCGTCATCATATTCTGTATTTCACAAGTGGGTCTGCGCGGCTCGGGTCCGCCTCTGACGATTATGAAGGTTTATGGCAGGGCTATTCAACTGGCAGCCCTCGGGCCAAATCCGGCCCACGAGTGACCAAGGTTCGGCCCGCCAATTGGTTCAGTCATCTCTTAACCCCCGGTTTTCTACTTTAATTACTGTAAGTTCTCTTAATTAGACATAGACATGTTTGGTATCTACAGAAACGTCAGAACGTTGGCTACAAGCTGGTATAAAACATTTCTACGCACACTCAAGACAGTTAAAACTACAAGCAGTTGAAGATAGAACTATGAAAGTGAAAATAAAATTGGTTTAAAAATTTGGCAAGTCAGAGATGTCAAAATAATATTTGTGTCKAATAGGAGGCATAATGTGTAGTTTTTGTTTTTGATATTGTTGAATTATGACTACTTTTTATAGGGTTCTGTATGTTGTATTCATGATTAAATGCAGCAAAATAAACTATTTCAAAGGTAACAGATCTTTGTAATACTTGGTTTATTTACATAATAACATCATTTGCAGCGATCCAACATGCAGCCTGTGCCACAAAAACTAAAAGATCAAACCTCAATACAGTAGAGCATCTCTCTTATTTATTTATTTATTTTTTTAGTTTTCTTTTATTTAGTGGCTTTGATGTGAGACGTGGGTTGGTGCTTTGTTTACACTTAATAATTTGTGTTAATTTAATTTGTTTATAAGAATGGCTTTTAAAGCAGCATCATTTTTTTAATGAATCACTGGTGGGCGGGCAGCAAGCCTGGCGCCACCTACCACCGGGCTTAGACTCTTTTCTGGGGGGAACCCTGGAGTCATTCATCTGTCTAACAAAATCCTGCCACTGAAGTCTTTTATTTGTTGCATGTTGTTGTTTCAGGATGTATTACTGTTACTGCACGTAAAACCAGTTGTGTAAAAATGTCAAAGAGGGGAAATAAATAATAACTACTGTGTCAGTAAATATGAGTTTCTACAAAGTGACAATGTTATAATTAGGGCTGCATGATATTGGAAATAGATTTATTTACTAACTCTCACTGCGATTTATATTGAGATATGAAAAAATACAAGAATTTTCAACAGATGACTTGAATAACACTTTAAGTTATGCTGCCATTTTGTTGTTGATGAATTTGCACCGATCCTGCCTCTTTTGTGCAAGTTTTTGTCTGTGTTTGAGCTTGCTTTTATTGTGCTGGGACCTGAGGAAAAACCTTCTATCAAGTACAAATGTGAATTGCTTTTTTACCACGATCTTAATATTAGCATTCATGCTAACCGTATTTTACCTATTTTCCTCCAGTTCACAGCAAATTTGCTCATTATCATTGTTTCTCCAAGATCCTCACAAAGATCCTCAACACTTTTCCAAAACTTGTAGCCACAATTGTCCCGGAAGTTTCACAACAAAATAAAACATTTAGCATTTGTTTTTTAAGTTTTAGCATTTTTGACACAAAGCTGCCCACTTCTGCTGGCGAAAGCAACCCGTCAAAATGAAAGTTGCAACACGCGACTGTTTAGAGCATTGATTTATGGTTTAGTGGTTCAGTTCCTCGATAACATGTTGATTTAATTTGCCTCCTTCATCACAGAACCTACAGTGTGACTACTGCACATGATTCTCAAACAATATATCGTGCAAGATTTGATTTAAGATTTGTCACTGTGACATAAAGTCATGTTCAAAAGGCATAACTACAAAGCTGAAACATTGGGCCTCATGCAAGAACATGTTCGTATTCTTCTCCTAAATTTCTCTTACTTTTGTTCGTACAAAGGGTTCGTAC